GTGTGTGTGTGTGTGTGTTTCCCTTCTTTGTCTCAGTTCACCCCCCCCTCCTCTGTTAATCCCATTAAGGCATGAAAGCTCTCTCTCATGCTAATAACACACAAATCTACATCTGCTCTCGCTTTTACCCATTTCTTGAATTTTTCCTCTTTTCCCTCTTTTCATTTCTTTGTCTCTTCTCGCTGTGACTCTCTTTATTTTTAGGCTTCGTGTGTTTTACCCACTTCACGTGTACACATTTACACAACTGCTCATAACGTTAAAGTCCTTTTCTTCTCTTAAAGCTTTACGTTCTCTCTCAGTTAAATTATGTAATGCCACAAAATAATATACATTCTGAATTAAAGAAAGCAGAATAAACACAGTTCCAACCTGCTCAATGATTCTGAGGATGGATGTTTTTATTTCTGTCGACACTGCTGATCGGCACGGTGATGATGTGTTTGTGTGGTTGCCATAGGAACATTCGTCATGGCGCCTGCGGAGCTTGGAGAGCCTGCACGCGTTTGTGTCGCACTGCACTGAAGAGCTGATCTGGCTCAACGAGAGGGAGGAGGAGGAAATCGCCTTCGACTGGAGCGACAACAACAGCAACATGAACGCCAAGAGAGAATTATACAGCGTGAGTGGAGGAGGACGGCTGAACAGACACTGTGCGCGCTGACGATTTCCAACGACAAGTCTGGAAAATATAAACCGGAAATAAAAGACGATACACGAGCTCACAAGCACAAAAACCGCTGGACACAATGATAACACAGGTGTCTGAAAGATCCTGTCATCAACCGTCCTTCTCTCTCTGCTCTGTTCACAGGAAATGAGGTTAGAGCTGGATGAGAAACGAGAGGTGATGCGGTCACTGCAGGACACAGCGAGTCGTCTGTGCGTGGAGAACCATCCGGCCAAACAGACCGTGGAGGTGAAGTGGTGATTTAATTCAGTTGGGCTGAATCGCCCTTTAAACATGTCGGCTAAAAGAGCACGTGAGGTTTTGTTGCGCTGCACTTTAAAAAGTCCTCAGACGCTCATTACATCGGACAGAGTGACAAAGACCTGGGACCTTTTTGGCAAACAGGAGAAATTGGTATTTGGAAAGTAGTACAAACCTCCACACATGGTTCTTTGTGTTTCCTTGGCTGTAGAAATGTGTGTGTTGCCCCTGTGCTCCCTCGTGTGTCAACCATCCTCTGACTGTGTGTGTGTGTGTGTGTGTGTGTGTGTGTGTGTGTGTGTGTGTGTTTGCAGGCGTACAGCGCAGCCCTGCAGACTCAGTGGCAGTGGGTGGACCAGCTCTGTTTTTGCGTAGAGCAACATCTGAAAGATAACACGTCGTACTTCCAGGTGAGACGGAACGTTTTATTTGTGATTTAGCAATGTACATAATATGTGAATTAAAAAAAAATCATTTAGAGGACGAGTTCCCAACTTTTTTTCAACCCCTGACCCCTAAAATAACAGAACCAGAGACTCTGGACCTCCATTAACTCCAAATGTTTTGATTTAACGTCCTGCTGCAGCTGAAGCAGCAGCTAATCTGTCGTAATCCCCTCCGGGTTCACGTGGGGACAAAGCAAATCTTAAATCCAACATGACATATTTTATTATTTGCCTGGTTTTATTTGAAATTCTGCTTCTTCTTTAATCCATTGAAACAATTTTGACTAAATTATTCTGTTGTTGTTGTTGTATTTGTATTTTTAACTTTATACTCCCAGGCCTCCGACTATTATATATTCACAGTCTTTACACATTCATATTAAAGTATTTTAACTTTGTGTTTAATTACTTTAGTTCATGAGCGATGCCCGGGACTGTGAGTCGTACCTGCGTCAGCTCCAGGAAACCATCAAGAGACAGTACACCTGTGACAAGAACAGCAGACTGACCAAACTGGAAGATCTGCTTCAGGACTCTATGGTATCTACTTACCCTTCGATTTTCTTATTGTCTGTCCTCAAACAGGACAAATCTCTCTGACAGATTTTCCTCTTCAGACCTGGAAATCCATTTTAATTACTCATTTATTTTTCTCCTGTGATTTTATGATGGAATTATAATGTTTGTCTGTAACGAGTGTTAATATCTTTCTAAAGTGGAACTGCACAGTTTGATTGTTCAGTTTACTGGGAGCCCCCTCAGGTTTAGAAGTCATGCTGCCCCCTTGTGTGCACAGTGCGAAACCTCCCGCTCTGCGGCTCAGACAGAGAATCTGTAGAATGTCCGGCACAGGAGCAGCAGAGGTCGACAGTGTGTGAGGTGTTAACTCTCCTGATTGTGGAGCTCAGCCTCAGGCAGACACACGACACAGTGAAGTCATCTGTTGGAGAGAACCCTCGCTGAATCAGCCCCCTGTGGCTGGAGAGGAGATTCACACCTACACACACTCACAGACACACACA